CTAGGGTGGGCATGGCCAGTTTGACATCACTCATGTCAGGGGTTTCCGTGGTGGCCCCAGCCCTCTGCCAGCGAAAACGGGCTCCCGAGCACCGTTTTCAGCCACAACAGTCTCCTTCCGCCCTCTGCCAGCAAAAAAGGAGCTCAGGGGGCTCTCCCACGCTTCGTTTTTGCTAGCAGAGGCAGCCTGGGCCAGTCCTTAGTTTCTAGGTTGGCCCCGCAGACCAGATCTAAGCACCCCATGGGCCAAATCTGGCCCCTGGGCCTTGACTTCCAGAACTACAAAATCTCTACATTGCAGGGAAGCCAAATTAGTTGAGGTACCTCCTTACCCGAATTACATCCACATAGGGCAGCATGTTGCCAGTCTGTAAGTCACGGAGTTTTATTTGGTGGAGGACCCACCCTTTGGAGTATCATTTCCCGAGATGTGTGGTCAGCCCCAATTTTGGGCCTGGGAAGCCCATGAAGGGCCTGTATAGGTTTAATTGCATTCTTGCCTGTCCTTTTGTTGTTACAGTTTTGAATTGGTTTTAACTGCATTAATCGAAGAATTAAGATTCTTTTCTCCCTTAATTCTCCTCTCCTGTTTAGCTCAAGCAAGTTTGCTGCTTTAGGGCTTCACAAAGGCTTTACCCAAGAGTTGTCTGCTTTGGGAAAAGATGGGATCAAGACTACCTGCTTGTGCCCATATTTTGTAAGCACGGGTCTTATAGAAAATCCACAGTCAAGGTAAGAGACAAGAGGGGTCTGGTTCATTGGTGGGATTCTAGGGGTTTGGCCTGGTTTGGGTGAACCAGTAGTAAAAAAATAGCTATCAGTTCGGCTGAACCGGTATTTCTTTTCTTTTTTCCGTCCTGACAATCAGCTGTTCCAATGATCAGCTGTTCTAATGATCAGCTGTTCTGGGATCCACCTCGCTCTCTTACTGCTTCACCCAAGAGGCATCCCTGAGGCCCAGGAGGCAAAAGGGGGCATATGCGGGGAGGGCTGCGCAGCTTCCCCCCCCCCCCCCGCCGTCCCTTTATTGCCTTCCTGGGCCCCCGGGATGCCTCCTGGAAGCAAAAATGCCCCCCCCCCCCAGGAGGCTTCCCTGAGGCCCAGGAGGCAAATGGAGTGCAGGGAGGTGGGTGCTGCACAAAAAAAGAAGCCACGCCCACCCAGTCACATGGCCACACCCACCTAGCAACTCCCACCTAGTCATGCCCACAGAACCAGTAGTAAAAATATTTGCAACCCACCCCCGGTCTGGTTAGCATAGAACAGTTTCCCAACCTAGGCAAATTTGAGACATGCGTCAATGGAGATATTCAATCATCCAGGTCATGGTTGTCCCAAGGCTGCTTTTTCAAGAAGTAATTGGACTTTCTGGTTTTTCTTTTGAAGACGTTTCACTTCTCATCCAAAGGAGCTTCTTCAGCTCTGACTGGGTGGTGGGGAATGGAAGGATTTATACTCCTTGCAGACAGCTGGTCATTTGCATTCATTTTAGAGAGTCGTTAAGGCCACCTGGAGGTTTTATCAGGATCAACGGAGTGATGCAAGTGGGTATGGAGCCTTCTGGGAATTGCTGAGAGACATTAAGACACGTGGACTTCAACTTCAACATGATGGTTGGGGAATTCTGGGAGTTGAAGTCCAGATGTCTTCAAGTTGCCAAGGTTGAGAAACCCTGGTTTAGGTGCACATTGCTAACCATTTGAAACTACAGAATCCGGAGAGCGTATTTTGGAGTCTCTCACAAAATGGCTGCCCTGGGAAAGAGTAGCTGGATCAAAACTTCAGTGACCAGAAGAAAGTTGATGAAAACTTTTCTCCCACCATGGCCGGAAGCTTCTTCCCTCCATTTTGAAACTTTATTTTTCTGGACAATGTATGCAGATATATGAACCAGATGCTGGATTGCCATTCTCTCTCCCTTCCCCTCTTTTTTATTTCCTCTTTCATAAATGCTTTCAAGGCCAAAAGTATTCCTATAGATAAAAATAAGTCATTGTGGCGGCTGCAAAAGAGGAACTGGTGTTTGGGACCATGGGTTTGTCACCACCATATTTGAGCAGATAGAATCAGTATCTCTGATAATTGTAGTCCACAAGACCCAACAGACCCTTCTTTTAAATATAATGACTTAATAGCTCGCCATTAATAACATCAACAATTATAATTGCAGAATAATACCTGTTCTGAAGCCTGAGGCAGTTGCAAAGAGGCTCATGGATGGGATACTCTGCAATCAAAAGATGATCGTTATGCCGTCGCCGGCTTCGATGTTCTCTTTGGTGGAAATGTATGTATTGCAGGGTGCTTAAGGGCTGAATTTCTGTACTGACAATTAGATTTAAAATACATGTTGTTGTAGCATACAAAAAAGCAAGCAGTAACATCAAGGTCTTGTATTGAAGCAGATTTTGAGGTTTTTATTTAATGTCCCTGTATTATTATTATTTTCCAGAATTCTTCCTGAGCGTGCTTTGGTGGCTTTGAATAAGATTTTGAGTATCAAATTCAATGTGAAGAAACAAGAATGACTCAAAGTATCAAATCTTCAGAAGCTTTCCAAATTTTCGATCATGTGCAATCATGTTTCTAATATCATGGTTTTTTACTTCTTATGTAAACTGCAAAGGGAATTCCAAGCACTATTCTTTGCAAATCAATAGTATGATATCTTTTTCAAGTACTGGTATAACACTCTACTGATTTTATTTCTTCCTGACATATAAAGATGACATCAACATAACTTCAGACCTATTGATCTTAAAGTATTTTCTTAAACAAAACTAAAAATCTCCAAGTTCTGTGTGACCTTGTTTCATTTTTGCTTTACTTATTTGATTTCATGAATGTTTAAGGAAATTAATTGGCCAATAATTAAGCTGAAAGTAATGCAGAACACTAAAGAGAAAGGATGTTTTGGCATGCCTTTATGGAAGTTATAGTACCATGCGGCAATACACTCGTGGCTAAAAGAATGGATCACATTAAGGAACAAAAGACTGCTAACTTTGGAAGGTCATGATATTCAAGCCAGCTGGCATGCTTTCCTGTGGTGTGAAAAAGATACAGTACATAAATGCTTCCAGAGACACTATCTAAGACAAACACTATGAACAGTATGGAATAAAATTAAACACAGTGTGCTTCTCCGAGAAGCACAAAGCCGAAGACACAAGCCTGAAGATGATGAATAGACTTCATCGAAACGTCGCCTAGATACTTCCAATTTTACGCGGGAGAAAACTCGAATAACCGAAGATCCACATACAAATACCCGTGAAAACCTCAGAAAACAAATATAAATATAAATATATATTCTAAAATATGCAATTGATTATTTAAATGATATTAGAAAAACTGAGAACATGGCAAACTGGGGGAAAATATGATTGAAAAGTTAATTATATAAACTTTATAGGTTAAATTTGGCTAAATGGAAGCAAAAAGGGAAATTTAATTTTCTGTTTTTCTTTTTTCTTTTTGGTATATACATGAAATAGAATGTAATTGATTATATAAAGGATATGATAGAAAATATGATAAATTAGGATTATATTGGAATGCAAAGCAGGAGTGGGATTCTAACATTCAGCCCAGTTCTATAGAACTGGTTGTACCGTTCCCGGTAGTTCGGAGAACCGGTAAATTGGGCGTCTGACTGGCCTCGCCCCTCTCCGCCCCCTTCTCCTCTCACTTCTCCACTGCCTGCCCATCAATCCTTATCACACATGCACAACATTACACATATACGCAACACTGCTGCCTGCTCTTGTGTGCCTGCCAGGCCAGCCATTGCTGCCTGCCTTCCACTGCGGTCCTGCCTTTACTGATCTCCCTGGGTCAGTGAGGATCTGCAAGCTCCAGTCAACTTCCCCCCACCACTTGCCTTTTGCTGCCACCGCCAGTCACCTTCTCCCTCCCACTTGCCTTTTGCTGCCGCTGCCAGTCGCCTTTCCCCCACCACTTGCCTTCTGCTGAGGAAAAGATGGAGAGGCTTGTATAGGATCTGGCCAGGTCAGCGGCTGCTTCTCTCACCTGTTGCTGCACAGCGGAAAGCTTCCAAGTCCACCCCTCTCCCATTAGAAACAGATCCTGGGCAAGCATAGAAGAAAGCCAGGTTGAATCCTCCTTCTCTCTGCTTGCCTGGGAGTAGTTTCTGATTGGGGGGGGGGGGATTCGGAGTCTTGCCACTGTTTGGGGAAACTTTTGCTTTCCCCAAAACAGCAGCAGGTGATAGAATGCAAGCAGCCGCTAACCTGGCTCAAGCCTCCACGCGCCTCCATGTGTTCCTTCCTGCTGGTGTTGCTGGTGTTGTACTGTTCCCAGTACAGTAGAAAGCTTCCAAGTCCACCCCGCTCCCATTAGAAACGGATCCTGGAGAAGCAGAGAAGCAAGCCAAGTTGAATCCTCCTCTCTGCTTGCCCGGGAGCAGTTTCTGATGGGGGGGTGGATTCGGAAACTTTCCGCTGTTTTGGGAAATTTTTGCTCTCCCGAAATGCCGCCTTAAGCGTGACAGGACTATGCCGTCCCGTTGCAAAGTCCCGTCATGCCTGCCTCTTTAAGCATGCTGCTTTAAATCCTGCCTGCCGCTGTAAGCGTGAGCACCCGCTGCCCCAGCCCTCTGAAAGCATCTCCCAGTGGAGTGGCGATGGCTGGGGTGGGGTGGGGGGTGCACAAGGTTCTGTTTTAGTTGCACGCCACTCCCTCCCCCCTTTCTTCCTTTTCCTGCCACCCGCTGCTGGCTGGAGTTGTTTGTCCCAGACCAGGAGAGTGTGTGTGTGTGTGTGTGTTTGTGTGTGAGTGAGAGGGGGGGGAAGGGAGGAAAGAAGGGAGAGAGAGAAAGAGAGATGGGAGAGAGAGTGAAAGAGAAAGAAAGAGAGGGAAAGAGAATTGCACCCCTGGGTGGCTGCCCCCAGAGTGACAGAGATGGAAGGAATAATGGGATCATATAGAAAGTCAGCATACAGGCATCCGATCCTGGAACCTTTTGTTTACAAAAGGAACATTTTCTTTACAATATCTGTAAATTTGGAATTTTCTCTTCTGTGCTACAAATTCATTTTTGTTAAGAGCATGGGATATTTGAGAGTTACATTTCTTTTTTGTGCATTCATGGAAGTTGTTAACTTTGATTTGTCAGTCTTGAGTTGCCTGATTATTACTTCAGGTGAATTCTTGAGGTTAAATAGAATCTTAGTAAATAATAAAGTTTCTCCATTCACAGTTCCTAATGTCTGGTTTTTGAAGAAAGGATCATTTCTAAAGATGTTATTATTCTTGTAAAGTTTGTTTTGTTTGTGTAAGTTCTCTGCAACAATGCCACATACAGAGACACAATGAAGAGAAATAATATCTGGCTATGAGTGTCAGGGGATTAAAAGTATTGAGCCTGAGGCTCCTGTTTTGCCTGCGATCTTGGATTGGAGTTTGAAGGCTGTTAAATCTCCAGTCTCTTCTACATCTACATAATTGCAACTGTTGTTCTTGGTTCTGATTTGGTTCAATAACTTGTGATCCAATGTAAGAAGGATGTTGAGGAACAAAAATGAAAGGGTGCAGAAGTATTCATCCAGAATAGAAGGTTGGGCTCCTGGGGGGAAGGAACATCTTCGGGACTGAAACTCATGTACTGTACATACAATAAGAAGCATCAGTTGGGTCTAAGAAGGGTCAACAATCTGAAACATTAAAGGCTGCATGATTCTGCAGCCCTCAGTAGGTGGTTCCTTCCTTCCTTCCTTCCTTCCTTCCTTCCTTCCTTCCTTCCTTCCTGCTATTGCCTTTCTTCTGGGCTGTTCTTATTCTATGATACTGTAGAATTAGGGTTGCTCTGAGCATCCTCTTGTCTCTAAGCTGCCTCATTTGTTTCTGTTGATTGCATGTATTTTTTGTCGGGCTTCACGAAACGCCTCGCTCGACAGAATCTGAAGCTTAGGGGAGTGAGGGAGACGGAGCGGAGAAAACAAACAACACTGCTGGATAATGTTGTAATGATTGATAATCTAAGTTGAAGAGGGGAACTCAGGAACTTATTTACACTCCTAGCAGAAAGTCCTGGGACCTCACGTGCACATGTGAGACCGGGACTTTCTGCAAGGAGAAGGCACATGGGCAAGTCCCTCCAGTGCAGTGGTCTCAATGGGGTGGACCTGCATGCCGGCACCTCTGCTCCCCTTACTCTCTTCCAGGTTCCGGCACGCCAGCCAGCCTGCCACCACTGCAGGTAAGAGGGCAGCGGTAGTTCACACATGCAGCCATGCCTCCCCAAAAGAGCAGTAGCAAGAGGCGGGCAAGAACTGCTCTCAGCAGTGGCAGGAGCAGCTGGTGGGGCAGCGTTTGCTGGCAGGGCATCAAATGCCCCATGTCCAAGCTGGCCAGTGTGCCGGAACCTGTAATAGCAAGGGGAGCAGAGCTGCCAGCCAGAGCAGGCGGGCCAGGGCTTTCCATCCTCCCCACCCAAGCAGGCTTTTTGCAGCTCTCCAAGGGCACAAAATGAACAAAGTGACCGGCCACGGCAGCTGCACATGCTGGGTGCTTTCTGCCTCCTCCCAGCGCCGCTTCTATCCCAGCCTGGCCAGCGGGTGGGTGGGTGGCCCTTGAGGGACATCTGCACTGAAGCTGAGCGGGTGGCAGACATGCACACATGCAGCTGTGGCAGCCTCAATATATCTGCCCACCCTGCCCTCTCGAAATATCACCAGCGCCACCGCTGCTGTAACCCTTGGGAAACGAAATAAACAAAGTGAGTCCAGACACCACCCCATTGGTCGCTTTCTGCCTTCTCGCGCCATCCCAGTCAGACCAGGTGTGTGTATGCATGTGTATGAGCAAGAGAGAGAGGGAAAAAAATAGGAAGAGAGTGGGGGGGTATGTGCAAGAGAGAGAGGGGGCTGGAGTGGGGCGCCACCCGATTTCTTCCTTATCCCACCACCCCGCTGCAGCGGGTTCATTCAGTTCATCCTTGAGTTGGATTGTTTATAGTTGATTTTGAAAGACGGCCTGTCTGGAATTGCTCCAAGGGAAAACTGTTTGAAAGAGCAGAATTATCCATGCTTTCTGCAGGCTTCTTTTGTGCAACTTCATTCCATTTCAGTGAAGCAATCCTTTAGGGAAGACGGTGCCCTCAGACCTCTCTGCCACTTAAACATGCAAGCTGATTGGGGTTGGAAGCTCTTGGAGCATTTGTAAAAACTCTTATCCTTGCACTAAGGCAAAAGGCTGTCCCCATAGGTCACGTGGCAGAAGAGATCCAGATGCCAGTTCAATAAGCCCTGTCCTCCCCCTTACCCCGGGGGAGCTGCTTCCCCTCCATCCTCCCGGGGGGGAGGGAGAAATCGCCTGTATGGCCTCACCTGACTGACCAGCGAGAACCAGAGGGATTTGTCTGCTCCCTGTGAATCTTAGACTGACCTTTGTCTGATCCATTGGATCTTTTCTTATCGCCTTAAAAAAAGAATTTGCAAAGAGATCTTATTTGCACTTAGGAGCCATTCTTGACACTAAACACTGATGACCAATTGATCAGCAATATGTGTGGTTGGAGAGTACAGCAGCTTCCAGGGGTGCCTCTTCCTGGGAACCTAGAAGTCCCTCCTCCCACTTATTCACCCCTTTCTTGGGCCTGGATGAACAGAGGTGTGTGTGTGTGTGTGTGTGTTTGTGTGTGTGTGTGTGTGTGTGTGTGAGAGAGAGAGAGAGAGAGAGAGAGAGAGAGAAAGAGAGAGATCAGAAAGAGAGAGAGAAAGAAACAAAAGAACGAAAAAGAAATGGGAAAGTAGAGAGAGAGAGAAAACTCTATGTTATTATTTTTAATTGTTCCATTATTTATCATGTATTGATATTTTACACTGTCTCTATATCTAGAGTGATTTTACTGCCCTTTTTTGCACAGTGCTACCACATATTTTTCAGGAACTTACATGCATTCAATGTCTAGTCCAGAGCATAAATATGTGTGTGTTTATTTTGTACATCAGGTTGCATAAGTCCAGCTTAATATGCTCTTCCTAGTATGTGATGTTTTGTATTGAAGGGAATAGTAATAGTAAATAAAGAAATGTTGTAGAATATATTATAGCATTAAGTAGAGTGTTATTCTATAGCAGGGGTGGGCAAACTACGGCCCGGGGGCCACATCCAGCCCGTTGGTCTTTTTAATCTGGCCTGCCGAAGATTGGTACAGAATTAAGGTTTGATGTGAATGATTGAATGATTGCATTCATTTGATTTTGACTTGTAATGACAGGCATTTCGACACCAGGTGGCGGCCTGTCTGTCAAATTTTAAAAGTCAATGAGGTCGCCCGAGCCAAAAATTTTGCCCACCCCTGTTCTATAGGCATTTGTTATCTTGCTGTTGTAAAAAAGATTTCCTTAACCTTTCACTTGTAAAATAATTATAAACACATGCCTGCAATCAGTTACATCCCTCTCCTATTAAGACACATGATTGTCCCATCTAAATCAATCTGAATCCATCTGTTTTCTTGGATTGATACATTTCACCCCAGCACCTGAGAATGAAACGTACCTCTCTGGGAATGTACCTCCACTTGGAGGAATCCACACCTTTGAATAATAATAGCCTCCTTAAGTGGTCAATTGTGATCAATTAGATGGACAATAGGAGAAGAGATCATGAAAGGAAAACATTGCCTAGAGAGATTTGCTTTTGCAGGAAAGATGTAAATCTAAGTTAGAGAGTTTTACAATGCAGTTACTCGACTTCTAAGAATCTTAAAAGGTATAAGGTATAAAAGGTTTAACTTTGATCAAAGAATAAAAGTCTGCTTTATTTAATTTGCAAGCCTCCGTTTAAGTCTTTGTTTTGGTTCATTTTTGGCTTAAGCCAGACCTTACAGTATACATACAGAGAAAGAAGCACTCTTGTGATCTTTGACTTTTAGGTTTGCTGTCAAACATCAGCCATAATAATTACTGTTTTGAACAATATGCAGGTTGTATTACACAATTGGCTATTTTATATATGAAATTATGAAATAAATTTGAGTAGAAGTCCTGGGAAAGTGTCAGCATAACAGAATAAAACTTAGAGGGACCTTTTCTGAAAAACTTCCAGTGATTGAGCACCCAGAACTTCTGGAGACAGGCAGTTCCACTGGTTAATTGTTCTCACTCGCAGGAAGTTTCTCCTTAGTTTTAGGTTGCTTCTCTCTCTGTTCAGTTTCCATCCATTGCTTCTTGTTTGTCTTCTGGTGCTTTGGAAAATACATTCCCGCCGCCCCCGCCCTTCTTTCTGGCAGCTCCTTAAAAGCCTGTTGACTTTCACACTCTTGAGCAAAGCATGTGAGCCATTTCCTCCCTTCAGTGGTCCATGAAAATACATCTATAGTACTTAGATAATAAAGTCAGAAAAGGTGAACTCTTGCAGCAGATCCTGTTTCCAAATCAGGGCACAAGACCACGAAGGGTTGGAGAATGCAGGTTTATTTGCGCAAAAGGTTCAGAGCATTAGCATGGCAAATTCTGAACCCTGGCTATTCCCGAGGGGTTGCTTTTATGCAGCTCACAATCTCAGCTTTTCCCAGGACGTTTTTTTCTTCTCAGGCTATACCATAACATATGCACTACAAAAGGGGGAAGTAAGTCTAATTAGTCCTTTCGCACAATTCAGCATATACATACTTATCTTACGCCATCTCTTATTTTCCATACCCACCCTTGCCACCCTTGCTGTTTTTAGCTGTTTACAGAAAGTATTTAGTTCCTAGGTCATTAAACTTAGACTTAGATTCAGCAGATTTCCTGATTTACACAATATCATATTAAGGAATGCCTATAATGTCTGCAATATAAGCTAAGAAACTTCTGCTAATGATAAGAATACTTTTCTGATAACTTTCCACTCTGCTTCAGAACAACATTTCTACAGAACTATAGATACTTTGAGGTTGAGTGTGACAAGGAATGGCTGGGAAGGGAGGGGCCAGGCAAGGCACCCTTTGATGTGAGTGACATTGAGTTGGCCACACCCACCCAGTCACATGACCACCAAGCCATGCCCACAGAACCGGTAGTAAAAAAATTTGAATCCCACCACTGCAGTCTTCCAATATTTGAGGGGCTGCCACAGAGAGGAAGGAGTCAAGCTATTTTCTAAAGCGCCTGTAGGCCAGACAAGGAGTTATGGATGGAAACTGAACAAGGAGAGATTTAACCTTGAAATAAGGAGAAACTTTCTGACAGCGAGCACCATCTACCAATGGATTAGAAATTGCCTTCAGAAGTTGTGGGAGTGCCATCACTTGAGACCTTCAAGAAGAGATTGGAGTGACATTTGTCAGAAATTGTGTAGGGTCTCCCACTTGGGCGGGGGTTGGACTAGATGACCTATATAAGGTCCCTTCCAACTCTGGAAGCTAAAATATATGAAGAACAATTGTAGGAATTGGGTATGTGTAGTCTCTAGTAAAAGAACTAGTGGGGACATGATAGCCTGTTCCCCCCAAAATAAGACCCACCCCCAAAACAAGCCCTAGCCTGATATTTTGGGGTGGGGCTAATAGAAACCTACCCCAGAAATAAGCCTGGGGGGTGGGGGTGTCCCACCAGCCCCTTGGTGCAGCACAGATAGTGGTAAGTCTAAGCGCAGAGGCAGAGGTGGGGGTTGGGGGAAGACAGGAGATCCAGGGGTCAACCTATTCTCCAAAGCACCTGAAGGCTGCACAAGAAGCAATGGATGGAAACTAATTAAAGAGAGAAGCAAGCTACAACTGAAGAGTTCAGAACTGGCAGTAAGAACAATTAACTAGTTGAATGGCTTGCCTACAGATGTTGTGGGCGCTCCATCACCGAAGGCATTTAAGAAGAGACTGGACATTCATTTGTCTGAAATGGTGCAGGGTCTTCTACTTGACTGGAGAGAGCTGCACAAGAAGACCTCCAAGGTCCCTTCCAACTCTGGTAATGATGATGATGAACTTGCAAAGATTCAACTAAACTTAGCTTCTATGCAATTATGCAGAGTATTACAACTCAAACAAGCAAATCTATACAGCCAATGCATTAAAAAGCAACAATCACTATGTAGAACAGCACTAAGCTTGCTCAGGGATCAGGCTGGGTTAATTACCACTCCCTGCTCCCTGAGTTGCCAAAAAGTCTTGTCAGCGTAAATTGGATTCCCTCCCAACCCATTGCCTTTCCCTGTCACAATACTGAGATGCAATTCTTACATGCCTATTGTCCAACTACTAACCCAGTTAAAGAAAGCGACTGTTGGATCCCTGTGGCTTCACTTCCTCTTCTACCAAGCATCCTCTGTCAATGGGAAAGCAACTGTCAGTCACTTAACACTTAAAAAAAAAATCTGATGATTTGTCAAATTTGATTAGTTTATCAAAATACAAAGAAAAATGAAAATTAGGGGAAAGCAAGGAAGGGAAGAGGGAAAAGGAGAAAGTATAGGACAAAAGGAGAACGTTTTTTTCTATCAAGCAAAAGGTCCATCACAGTTTCCAAGTAAAAGGGCTCCTCACGCGCCCCATCTTGGCTGGTAGAGTGCTGCAGGAGGCCAGCCATCCCATCTCCTCCCCCCTGGCTGGCCCACAGACCACAGCTACAATGCTAATCCAGTCCTCCACGAAATCTGGTTTAACACCCCTGAACTATAGCCATGGGATAAGAGACCCCGCCCCCATCACTTCCAGATCAATTCCTCGGCAACTGGGAGGTCTAACATCTAAAACATGACCAACCACATGATCAGAGGTGACTTCAGACAAGCCCATGGATGCTATTAATTCCTGGATGCTGAAGTCACCCAACAAAAGGTAAATAATCATCCCTAATTCTTACAGTTCCTTTAAAACACAGTCCTATATAAACAAACACCAGATAAAGGTAGAGAATAAATAAGAATTATAAAGAAAGACAAACTATTAGAATATGTACAAATAGATGATGGAATTATGGACTATTACTGAATGTTGATGCAATTACTGTTGAAAATGTAGTTAAGATGTGTACTGGTGAAAAACAATAAAAATCATTTGGAAAAAAAACACAGCCATATATATACAAGCACTACTGGTATATTTTATAAAATATCCAGGTTTCATTGAGAGATTGGATCATGTCTCCAACTTGAGGGCCTGCTCAAGAAAAGATAAAGAAGATCCTCTACATCTCAAAATATCCTTTATTTGTGTGAAGGGTTGCTTAAGTCTTATCAAGTATGCAATTCACTCAACAGTCCGATGCGAGTATTGACCTAACGTAATATTTAAATCAAGCGTATCCAGCGGTGGGCTTCAAATTTTTTAGCAAGGAGCTCTCTGCCCTAATGACTGCCATTCCAATTTAGTTTCTCTTCAGAGAGTGTTTTCCATTCCTAACAAGTTGCTCCCAACCTGGAAGTCACTTCTTCTGAGATATTGTGCAGTGGTGGGATTCAAATTTCTTTACTACTGGTTCTGTGGGCTTGGCTTCATGGGCATGGCAGGGGAAGGATATACTGCAAAATCCTCATTCCCTCCTCACTCCAGGGCAAAAAAAGAAGAACCAGCTGATTAGCCAGGACTCTGGAGGCAGAGAATAGATGGGGCCAGGGACAGTCAGAGGTGGTATTTGCCGGTTCTCCTAACAACTCAAAATTTCTGCTACCAGTTCTTCAGAACTGGTCAGAAGCTGATGAATACCACCTCTGATATTGTGCCAGTTAATTTCCTTAAGCACTCATGAGGTCAAATAAGTAAAGCAAAAATGAAATAAGGTCACACAGAACTTGGAGACTTTTAGTTTTGTTTAAGAAAATACTTTAAGATCAATAGGTCTGAAGTTATGTTGATGTCATCTTTATATGTCAGGAAGAAATAAAATCAGTAGAGTGTTATACCAGTACTTGAAAAAGATATCTTAATATTGATTTTCAAAGAATAGTGCTTGGAATTCCTTTTGCAGTTTACATAAGAAGTAAAAAACCATGATATTAGAAACATGATTGCACATGATCTAAAATTTGGAAAGCTTCTGAAGATTTGATACTTTGAGTCATTCTTGTTTCTTCACATCGAATTTGATACTCAAAATCTTATTCAAAGCCACCAAAGCACGCTCAGGAAGAATTCTGGAAAATAATAATAATACAGGGACATTAAATAAAAACCTCAAAATCTGCTTCAATACAAGACCTTGATGTTACTGCTTGCTTTTTTGTATGCTACAACAACATGTATTTTAAATCTAATTGTCAGTGCAGAAATTCAGTCCTTAAGCATCCTGCAATACATACATTTCCACCAAAGAGAACATCGAAGCCAGCGACGGCATAACGATCATCTTTTGATTGCAGAGTATCCCATCCATGAGCCTCTTTGCAACTGCCTCAGGCTTCAGAACAGGTATTATTCTGCAATTATAATTGTTGATGTTATTAATGGTGAGCTATTAAGTCATTATATTTTCAAAGAAGGAACTGCTGGGTCTTGTGGACTACAATTATCAGCAATACTGACTCTATCTGCTCAAATATGGTGGTGACAAACCCATGGTCCCAAACACCAGTTCCTCTTTTGCAGCTGCCACAATGACTTATTTTTATCTATAGGAATACTTTTGGCCTTGAAAGCATTTATGAAAGAGGAAATAAAAAAGAGAGGAAGGGAGAGAGAATGGCAATCCAGCATCTGGTTCATATATCTGCATACATTGTCCAGAAAAATAAAGTTTCAAAATGGAGGGAAGAAGCTTCCGGCCATGGTGGGAGAAAAGTTTTCATCAACTTTCCTCTGGTCACTGAGGTTTTGATCCAGCTACTCTTTCCCATGGCAGCCATTTTGTGAGAGACTCCAAAATACGCTCTCCGGATTCTGTAGTTTCAAATGGTTAGCAATGTGCACCTAAACCAGGGTTTCTCAACCTTGGCAACTTGAAGACATCTGGACTTCAACTCCCAGAATTCCCCAGCCATCATGTTGAAGTTGAAGTCCACGTGTCTTAATGTCTCTCAGCAATTCCCAGAAGGCTCCATACCCACTTGCATCACTCCGTTGATCCTGATAAAACCTCCAGGTGGCCTTAACGACTCTCTAAAATGGATGCAAATGACCAGCTGTCTGCAAGGAGTATAAATCCTTCCATTCCCCACCACCCAGTCAGAGCTGAAGAAGCTTCTTTGGATGAGAAGTGAAACATCTTCAAAAGAAAAACCAGAAAGTCCAATTACTTCTTGAAAAAGCAGCTTTGGGACAACCATGACCTGGATGATTGAGAATTGAAACAATGGAGAAAACTGGGAAACAGTTCTATGCTAACCAGACGTATCTTGTCTCTTACCTTGACTCTATGTTTTTTACAAGCGGAGTGCTTACAAAATATGGACACAAGCAGGTAGTCTTGATCCCATCTTTTCCCAAAGCAAGCAACTCTTTGGAAAAGCCTTTGTGAAGCCCTAAAGCAGCAAACTTGCTTGAGCTAAACAGGAGAGGAGAATTAAGGGAGAAAAGAATCTTAATTCTTTGATTAATGCAGTTAAAACCAATTCAAAACTGTAACAACAAAAGGACAGGCAAGAATGCAATTAAACCTATACAGGCCCTTCATGGGCTTCCCAGGCCCAAAATTCTGAGGGTTTTCCAGAAGGCTGACAGAACTGGGGCCAACCACACATCACGGGAAATGATAATCCAAAGAATGGGTCCCCCACCAAATAAAACTCTGTGACTTACGGGAAGGCCACTTGCTGCCGTTCCTGCTGGACCTGAAGGGAAGTGTGGATGTAATTGGGGTGAGAAGGTACTTGGCCCCATACAAAGTAGAGGTTTAGTGACTCTGGAAGTCTGGCTTGATGTGTGAATTAACTTATAAACAAGCTTACAAAGGGAAGCAACATTATATTGACCAGGGTTTTATGTAACTCTGATCTGATGGCTTTCCTCTCTCAGGAACTTCAGCCATAAAAGAAAATATATGTAGCTCTGGGTTGAACCGTGGAGTTCTCAATGCTCCCTGAACTTGGTTGTTTTCTTGAAGTTGTTTCATTACCCAGCTAGGTAATAACTTCAGTGCTAGAAGGGTGTGGGGTTTAACCTCTGTTTATAATCTATAAGTAGTCCTCAACGTATGACCACAATTGAGCCCAACATTTATGTTGCTAAGTGAGACATTTGTCAAGTGAGTTTTGCCCTCTTACAACTTTTCCTGCCACATTTGTTAAATAAATCACCACAGTTGTTAAATTAGTGACACGGTTGTTAAGTGAATCTGGTTTCCCCATTGACTTGGCTTGTCAGAAGATAGCGAAAGGGGATCAAGTGACCCAGGGTACTGTGATTATCATAAGTATGAGTCAGTTGTCAAGCATCCGAATGTAAATCATGTGACCATGGGGACATTTCTGTCTTGTCTTGCAATAGTGAGCACGTCTCTTTTTTTTTTAAATCCCCCATATCAATACTCCCATTACAGAATCCTGCTTTATTAGTCTGCCATTATGCCAGCATTTCCTGCACCCCAGAGGGAGGTCAGTATATTTTGCCTCTCAATTCTATTCTCTGAACTAGCATGAAGCAGAAATGGTGCAATAGAGCCAGTGGTGGGATTCTACCGGTTCAACCCGGTTCAAACGAACCGGTAGTAAAAAAAATGCTACTGTTCAGTTGAACTGGTATTTCTTTCTTTTTTCACCCTCCTGATGATCAGCTATTTCGATGATCAGCTGTGCTGGGATCCCCCTTGCTGTCTTACTGCTTCACCCAGGAGGCTTCCCTGAGGCCCAGGAGCCAAGAAAAAGGGAGCGCGGGGGGTGCTGCACAAAAAAAGCCACGCCCACCCCGTCACATGGCCAACCCCACATAGACACTCCAACATAGCCATGCCCACAGAACCAGTAGTAAAAATACTTGCTGAATATTTTCATATATTTTCTGAAAAGAGCCATATTAATATTGACACAATTCCTTAAAAACTTCTCTGTCTTTCTCTTTTTTCTTCCAAAACAAACTATTTATTTCAACAGAAAAAAACCCACAATACTTATACTTACCAATAAGTCACCAGAAAAGGAGTTGATACAAGTGCAGCAACTGATACAATGTTGACAACATGACCATGGTTATTTTTCATCATAGCTGGCAGGAAAGCTTTTATTGTCTGCAATGAAGATTTCGCGTGACCAAAAAGAGGGGGGGAAATACAACACCTCACATTACCAGATGGTTATATTTCTGTACTTTTTCATTCAAAACCACACATATTCCTAAACCGAATAATTCACATGCAATCTATTTACAATGAGATGATTTCTTCCCCTTCAATAATCACTGGAAGCAGCGTGAACGTAATAGTTTCAAATATACCATGGTGCATATTGGAAATATTGAACCTCAGTCCTATGCTAGTTCTTTGGGAATAATTGATCTGGAATGATCTGGCTTTGAGTTTTAGTTATATTACTGTGTTTCTCCAACCATCCGGCCTCCACCAGTAGGAAGGCCCAGCATGATTTCTGGGCATGAAGTGAAATTAAGCCCCACCTCCAAAATTTAACCTACTTAAACCATGTGTTTCCCCATCATTTCTCACACAGTGTGTTAGAACTACACAAGGTGAAGAGAAATTTGAGGGAAGGGCGGGGGGGTGGGGAGAAAACTTGCCTTTAGGAGCGCCCTGCAGGTAGCCTAGGCTAGACTACCCTGATCTACTATCGATAGAACATCAGCCGATAGAAGGTCCCCAAAGGCAGAGTCACCAGCCACTTCAATTGGCCAGTAGAAATGGCCTTGGGGCAATCACCCATGCACACACCCCTCACCACGAGGCCGCTTCTATCAGCCGATGAAAGCTTCCCAAAGGCAGAGTTCAACAGCTGCTTCGGGCAAGGCATGGCTGCCCGCGTCCCCTCGCCATGAGGCAGTGTCTTTCAGACAATGGAAGCTCCCTAAGGGCAGTCACCAGCCACTTCGATTGGCTGGTAGAAGCGGCCTTGAGGCGAGCGCCCACGCACACTCCCCTCACCATAAGGCCACTTCTTTTGGCTGATGAAGCCTCCCTGAAGGCAGAGTCACCAGACGCTTCGGGGCGAGGCATGGCTATGCACCAGGTTCCCAATTGCAAAGTCAATGCAACTGCAAACTCAATGCAATGTACATATGCTGCTGTTAGAATAAATATCAGACAACCCCAAGATTCCTGCTGCATTTCTGCTTCCTGAGCCAGCCGTTCTTCTTCGTCCCCTCAGATAGCCCTATTTCCCCCCGATTTCCCACTGCAACCATTTTCACCGCAGGAGGGTCGCTAAAGAAACTTTTGTCTTCTGTCTTTTAAACTTCTCTCTCCAGCCTTGGAGATCCTCTCCTGGGGACTCTATCCCCCTGCTTAGTTTCCATCCTAGACAAGCCCCCTCCCAGATGCTCTCTGGGAATCCAAGGACTGGTTCTGCCCCCCTGTCAGCCTTCAAGATTCTCTCCTATTGCTTTGCATCTTTCGGCTGTCATAAGTAACGGGGGGAGGAGGGGGGAAAATTATGGGAAGTGAGCTGGAGGTGTTACAAACAGAACTGTATAAACTGGGGGAGGGGGGATACATTCTTGCTTAGCTTTCTCTTTTATGCTATGCACAGCTGCAAACCTTTATCAAAGTATGCCAAGGTCAACGGGCAGAAGCCTCATCACCACCTGGAGATGTTCACATGATGATATTCATAACTTTTAATTGGAAGAACCATTTGAACTACTGGGGGTGGGAACATTGCCATTGCTTTGTATATGTGATTTATGTGCCTATTTTCTCAGATTCAGAATTCTTTTGTTGCTACCACTTGATTTCCAGTAAAAGACATCTTTTCTCTAATTAAAAGAATTTAAGTATTTCTTTCTTGGATTTTGAACGGAGCACCAGCTGACACCACCCCCATCTCTGACTTGAGCAGAGCAGGCACTGGAGGGGCAGGGAGGGGGGAAGAGTGGAGGGGCTCCTGGGTTTTTTGGCTGAGCTGGGTGAAGATCATCCTGGTGGGCCCAAAGGGTGATCTTTCAGATTGCTTTAATGATTAACAGGACACTTCCCTGAACCCCCAACTCCCTCCAGTGGGGACGATGGCGTCTTACTGGGCCCGGGAGAGATTATGGCTGTGTTGCAGGGAAGAAACAACACCCCCCAAAAGCCCCTTGGAGAAACATAAATGAATGAATAAACTCAAAGGGTCTTGGGACAACCCCCACCCCCAGGTAAATTGTACCAACAAAAGTGAGGTGGCGGAGGAGCAGGGACCTTCAGGTTCAGGAACTCTAGGTTAAGCACAAGCTGCTACTTCTTTCCTCCCTGCCCTCATTTCACGTTGCCTTTGATCACAAAGCAGATCTTAATGATCTTAATGTCAGGAGTGCCCCGTGGGCAGCCACACCTTGCCCTGAAGCAGCTGGCAACTCTGCCTTCAGGGAGCTTTCATCGGCTGATAGAAACAGCCTCACGGCGAGGGGAATGTGCATGGGCACTCACCCTGAGGCCGATTCTAGCGGCTGATTGAAGTGGCTGGTGACTGCCCTTGGGGAGCTTCCATCGCCTGAAAGACACTGCCTCATGGCAAGGGGACGCAGGCAGCCATGCCTTGCCCCAAAGCGGCTGGTGACTCTGCCTTTGGGGAGCTTTCGTCGGCCGATAGAAATGACCTCATGGAGAGGTAAGTGCACATGGGGTGCTCTAGGTGGGGGAGGAAATTAAGTCATCCCCCAAAAGACGGCCTAGCTGTTTTTTCAGGGGTCAAAAAAAAAAAAAGGCCCGGCCTTATTTTGTGAGAAACATGGCAGGTCTTCTGCCATCCAAGTTCAGACTCGGCTTTTCCACAATGAGCCTACCATAATTATCTCAAGTTTAGAACAGTACCAGAGGTAGTATTCAGCCACTTCAGACCAGTTCTGGCATATTGGTTTGGAGAAGCACCAAATACCACCTATATTTCCTTTATAGCTCAGCTGATTCTTGTGCCAGAACAGATTGCCATGCCTCAGCTGAGCTAAAAAACAGCTCAGGCAGCTCACCATGATTGAAAGGTTGGTATTTGAGCCCTGCGCGCATATGCAAAGCATGTGTTGGGCACATGTGTATAGAACCAGTAGAAGAAAATTTGGAAACCCACAACTGAATAGTACACTGAGAACTTTGAGACAGCCCTCAAAATGAGATTGGATACAGGAGGGCGGAGCTGGCGTCGCGACGATACGGCATGCGATCTTGGAGGTCTGAGATCGCTGCTGATATCTTTGCTCCTGGACGGTCCAATTGGATCTAAACCATCCTGGAGAGATGATGAATGTAAAGAGCACATCCTGTTGATCCCAAGGATACCACAAAGTCCCTGGTAGATCCAGGAGAAGCTCTTTTTGCCAGCGGCAAAGAGGCAGCCATTAAAGCTGCTGAAGTTGGGACAGCTCCGAAACGAAAGAGAACGGAAAGAGAGAGTGTGCCAGTTTGGTGAGAACTTTTTCTTTATTTTAAGATTTGAAAGGACACCCTAAGAAAAAGAAAGAATCTGTAAAAGTTTTGACAGAAGTGATTAAGCGGTGATTTTAAACAGGAATGTCAAAGTAATATTTTTATTTTTTCTTATTGCTAGATTTTCTATACATGATTTTATATTTTGAAACTGGACTGGTTTTTTCCTTCTTCCACCTATTCTTTCTCTCCTTTTTGACTTTATAGTATTTTAGGCTAGAGACTCCCTTTTAGTCATCTTTTTAAATATCTTTTTACCTTTTTAATTAATTTTCATTATATTTTTTTTGGAAAAGGAGGGGGAAAGTGAAAGCAAAAGAAACTTTGTAACGCTGCCAACTAGAGGCTTGGAAATATTTTTTTTTCTTGACCAGACAAAGCTGAGAAAGAACTGAGACTTCTTTTCAAGGACATTGCCTGTTTGATAAGATAGAGGGAAGAGCATGGAAGAGTATTATTGCAGGTGCTCTTCTGGGTTTCTATCAACAGCTGGAGTCTGGTGTTGAAGCTTATAGGGGAAAAAATGGTGATAAGACTCTGGAGAAGAGAGTTATAAATTTTAACAAAAGCCTTGGACAATCAAACAAGGTGCAGTGTGCTCTTTTTATTTTTTTTAAACTGCGCTATTCCCTACTTTACTTTTCGTAATAGCTATTAGGACTTTTGGCCTTTTGGAACTTGATTTTTGTCTTTCTTTTTGTCTTTTGAAGTCAAAATTTTTATGTTTGCATTTTATTTTAAAGGAAAAACTTTAGTATTAATGATTTCTTTTTTCCTTTTTTTATAGGGAGTAGTCTTTTTTTCTTTTTTCTCTCTCTCTCTCCCTTGTATTTTTTTTTCTATTTACCTTACATATTGGTTGTTGGGTTTTTTGTGGCTTTCTTTTTTTTTTATGCATCCTTTTATACCTGAGACCTCTTAATTGGATTAAGGTGTTGAAGAACCTGAAGAACTTTTTTTCCTCCTTATTAGTTTTTTACCTTTTACTTTTCTGCCTTTTTCAGGATTTAACAAGTTTTTCTTTTTTGTGTGTGTTTATGCTTTTTTCTTCCATTTTTGAGTTTTTACTGCTATCTAGCCAATCAGTGGGATTAAGGTATACAAGAACCTGAAGAATTTTTTAAATTATTATTATTATTATCGCTACTATTTGGTTTCTTTTTTCCTACCATTTTTATTTGGAATTGCAATTGGTTATTTCACAAGTGGATTAAGGTCTAGAACAGGAGTATCCTTTCACCTTCCCTGGGCCACATTAGAAGATGAAAATTTGGTTTGGGCCGCACATAAAATAAAATAACAGTAACGATACCTGATCATCCAAAAAAACCATAGAAAACATAGTTAACATATTAAATTTATTTGGAAATGAAGTTAGTGAGATGTTTTTATTATTTATTATTATTTATTAAAAATTATTTATTTTTTATCATGGTTTTTTTATCACTTTTTTTATCACGGGTTTTTTATCATGGTTTATTTTACGGCCAAATTTTGCGGGGGAGAGGGGAGAAAGCTCGCCCGCCTCACGCCTACCTCTTCTCCTGCAAATGGCCCGGCTGGATGAGGCAGGACTGGAGGGCAGAAGCAGCAGCGGCGGCGAGGGCAGAAGCAGCGGCGGCGGCGGGGGCAGAAGCAGCAGCGGCAGCGGCGGGGGCAGAAGCAGCAGTGGCGGCGGGGGCAGATATTGCAATTAATAGATGACCAAGGCCAAGTTTGCTATGGTAGTAAAGAGAAGAAGGAAATCATACGAGTCTATTATGGGAAACTATACACACAGGAGAATATTGATGAGGAAAGAGTTAAACAGTATTTGCAGAATGCTAATTTACCCCAGATACCTAAAGAGATTGAAACAATGTTAGAAAGCAACATAACGATGATGGAGTTAACTGAAGCACTAAAGAAGCAAAATAATGGAAAGGCACCAGGCCCAGATGGACTTCCGGCAGAATTTTGCAAAACACTACAAGAATCGTTGAATCTTCCATTGCTAGAAGTTATGAATGAAGTTATGTTAAAGAAGAAGATACCTAAATCACGGTCAGAAGCCTATATTACACTTATTCCAAAAGACGAGGCCAACCCATTACAAATTAAGAACTATTTCTCTACTAAATGCAGATTATAAAATCTTTGCTTCAATATTGGCAGAAAGACTTAAAAATATTTAAACAATTTTATCCATCCTGATCAAAATGGATTTCTGCCAAAGAGACAAATTAAAGATTATATGAGAGTAATCTTGGACACTTTGGAATACTACGAGGCACACCCTGAAAAACAAATGGCTTTGATATTTTTAGATGCACAGAAGGCATTTGATAATATGAATTGGCGATTCATGTTATTACAACTGGAACAGATGGGCTTTGCTAAAAAAATTATTCAAGCAATAGAAGTTATATATCATAAGCAAATGGCAAAGGTAATGATAGAGGGAGAACTGACAGACTCTACTGATATAAGAAAAGGAACAAGACAAGGGTGCCCACTATCACCTCTGTTGTTTGTGTTAATCTTGGAAGTGCTAAACAGAAATATTAGAGAAGAAAAGGATATAAAAGGGATGAAAATTAAACAGGAAGAATTTTAGTTGCAAACATTCGCAGATGATCTGGTTTTCATTTTAGAAGACCCACTAGAAACAGCATTAAAATTGATAGAAAAGATAGAGGCATATGAAAAAGTGGCTGGTTTGAAAATAAGCAAAGATAAGACAAAGATCTTGACAAAGAATATGCTATCAAAACAAAAGGAAGAACTGGCAGATCTATTGAAAATTCAGGTAACAAATAAGATTAAATACTTGGGTATACATTTGACAGCAAGATGTAGTACACTAAAAGAGAATAATTACATCAAACTTAAGCAGCAGATAGTGTTAGATTTGGCAAAATGGGAAAATTTACAACTGTCATTAATAGGGAGAATATCAACGATCAAGATGAATATACTACCCAGAATTTTATATTTGTTCCAAACAATTCCAATTAGGCTTAGAAAAGATTACTTTGAAGATTTAAATAAAATTGTGTTGAAATATATATGGCAAGGAAAGAAAGCAAGAATAAAGCTAAAGCTTTTGCAAGATGCTAGAATAAGAGGAGGATTTGGTTTGTCTAATTGGGAGTTGTATTACCAAGCTACAAATTTGATATGGGTTAAGGAATGGATAACATTAAGAAACACTAGATTGTTGACATTAGAAGGACATGATCTGTTGTTGGGGTGGCATGCTTTTCTATGGTATAAAGGAACTAAAACACAGGGGTATTTTAGAAGACATTATATATGGGAGTCTCTGTGGTTAAATTGGGAGAAGACTAAAAGGCAATGTTATTTGAAAATTCCAGTCTGGCTATCGACTATTGAAGCATTTTCTTATCCTATAATATATAAAAAGGAACAAACAGTTAGATATGGTGAAATATTGAATGAAAAGGGTGAACTTAAATCTATACAAAAATTAGAGGATCAAGGTATAAAGATGAATTGGTTCTCATATGCGCAAATACATTCAAGATATGATAAAGACTCTAAAACAGAAGATTTTTATGATAAACTGACTGATCTAGAAAAGATTTTGACAGGTACTGATGAAAAGGTGATTAAAAAATTGTATGGATATTTATTAGAAATTAAACTAGAAGAAGAACAAGTTAAAGAAACTATGATTGCTTGGGGAAAGAATTTTGGATATGGGATTGATCTAGAGAAATGGCAAAAATTGTGATTTCAAAATTATAAAATGACAATGTCAACAGCATATAAAGAAAATTTGTATAAGATGTTTTATAGGTGGCATTTTCCCCTGACAAGAATAGCAAGAATGTTCAAGAACAAATCGGAAAAACATTGGAAATATCATCAGACACCTGGCTCATATTACCATATGTGGTGAACTTGTACGGATGCTAAAAAATATTGGACTAAAATCCACAAGTGGTTGGAAAAAATGACAAAAAAGCATATAGATTTGAAACCAGAGATATTTTTATTGGGAATTTTACCTGAAATATATAGTAAAGAATTGAAATACCTGATTGTAAATGTATTAACAGTGGCTAGGATTGTATATGCTAAAAATTGGAAAAAATAGAAAATACCATCACAGGAGGAAATTATTAAGAAAATATTGGAATGTGCTGAAATGAGTAGATTGACATTTGAAATTAGAGAACAAGAGGATAAACAATTTTATAAAATCTGGGATCTATTCTATCAATGGTTTGAAAATAAAACATGGTAATGAAATATGTAGATTCTTAGAAAATAATAAATATATAAAGATGTATTCTTTTCTTATTATATCTACAAAATGATTATTAGATAGATTTGAGATGATAATATGAACTGTCACAAAACAATTTAAGTAAAATATGATTATTCGTAAAACATGAATGAATAAAACTATAGTCAAATGATTGATTAACAATGATATTAATGTATTTAATACTTGATTGAAAATATGAGAATATATACAAGGTAATTGTAATTGAAGACTATGAAATGGAAGCACAAAACAATTTGTAAACCAACCGGCACTCTGTATGTATATATATATATATGGAAGATGGCTTGATGTTTTTATGTTTTGTTTGTCTATGTTCATCTTAAAAACCAATAAAAATTTTTTTAAAAAAACACGAGATTGGATACAACCCTTTGACTAAAGTGCTGCAATACAGATGATGAACGGGCTTTCAAGCGATATCATAGGAGGGTCCCCCAATCTTTTGGGCACCAGGGACCGGCTCCTTGGAGAGAGATTTTTCCATAGACTGGAGGGGGTGTGGTTTTGCATTCTTCTTGCATCCCATGGATGTGTCTTCGCTTGTTTGCGTAGCCCAGTTTTCTGGTGTGCCATAGCTCTCCGGACCACGGTTTGGGAACCTTTCTATTATAGTACTGCTGTAGTGAACTGGCAGGTGAGCCTCATTTTAACCTTCCTTAACATATTTTAGTTAGGACCACGCTTTAAGGTACTGTAAGCTCAATTAAGCTTCAGCCCTGTGTTCCTAATATTAACTAAATACTTAAAATTTAAGTTCTCGGCAATACTTACCCAGAAATGAGCTAGAATGTTGACATCATATATTTTTTGTATTTGCTTGTCCTGGGTAGAAAGTAGATCCCCTGTTGCTGCCACACCAGCATTATTCACTAAAATAGTAACATCTCCAACATCTTTTTTTACCTTTAAAGTTAAGAAACAGAAATTATTAAGCTTTGCTCGGGTTAAATTTGATTTTCTTCTCTTTTGTTGTTGTGCTGCCATATAGATCTTGCACAGACTGAAAGGCACGGTAAAGACTGAATATTTTAAAAGACAAAAAAATGCAACCTTTACAAGATAAGGCTTGGCATTCTACAGATGTGTTGTAATTCAGTATGTTGGCACTAGAATTTGGGGAGCTGAAGCCTTGACACATCTGGATAGCCATGTGAGGCTGATTTAGAGGGCAAGTGACATAATCAGCCCATACATACAATGATCATATGAAGAAATTATTTGTGATGACCTAGGGTGTGGCACAAAGGCAATAGTCAGTTAATCAATAGGAGTCCCTTTATTAGCTCCAATTTTGCCCCCAAAGTCCTGGTTACCTTCTGGCTGGAGAAAAACTCTCCCAGGAACAGCCTTTGGCTGCAGAGAATCAAGTCCAAAATGTGGTCAACAAAAACTAGCTATAAGTCCAATCAAGGCAAAATTAGGTAATTAGTTTGGCAGGGCAGGAGCAAGAATTCCAGACATGAAGGAACGGCAGTAATTCAATATGGTTGGAAACATGCCAGGAACACAGATTAGTAAAGTTAACACAAGATAAACTCACGTTTGCTCCTAGCAGCTGCCACACTCAGCATGCATTTCTTTTAAACTCTCATTCCCAGGTGTGGCTAATGGAGGGAATCGGGGCCCTTTCCTGTCCCACAAGAGAATGCTGCTCTCTTCTCCGTTCCTCCCTGCATGTCCTAGGACAGTAGTGGTGAATCTTTTTGGGCTCCTGTGCCAAAAATTGCACGCGCACCACTTGTGGCACGCGTGCCATAGGTTCGCCATCACAGCCCTAGGGTGAAGAGGGGGTGGGCTTTCCTCCGAACTCCCTCTGCCTTGTTCTACCTCTTCCCTGCTCTGCCCAGCCAGACTTTGCCCTTCCCCAGTTTCTTCCACAGCCAATGGAGCCACACTCCCAGCTGTTCGTCTTCCTCCTGGATTCAGACTCCGACAGGGGCATGACACTATTATTGTAAAAACAAAGCACTTTTTGTGTTAAAAGTTTATGGACTTCTTGTCAGAGTTGATCTAAGGCAGGGGTGGGCAAACTACAGCCCGGGGGCCACATCCGGCCCGTTGGTCTTTTTAATCCAGCCTGCCGAAGATTGGTACAGAATTAAGGTTTGATGTGAATGATTGAATGATTGCATTCATTTGATTTTGACTTGTAATGACAGGCATTTTGACACCAGGTGGCGGCCCATCTGTCAAATTTTAAAAGTCAATGAGGCCCCCCGAGCCAAAAAGTTTGCCCACCCCTGATCTAAGGTATTCTTCAAATGAACAAGCAAGCATTCACTGGATCTCACTGACAAAAATATGACGCGAAAAGCAAAACAGGAACATTTCTAGGTGAGATGGGTTTAAATAGATACATATATACAGGTGGTCCTCAACTTATGACCACAATGGACCCCCAAATTTCTGTTGTTAAGCAAAATGTTGAATTTTGCCCCATTTTATGACCTTTCTCGCCATAGTTGTTAAGTGAATCACTGCAGTTGATGAGTTAGTGGCACAGTTGTTAAGTAAATCAGGCTTCCCCATTGATTTTGCTTCTCAAAAGGCGATCCGCATGACCTTGGGAGACAGCAACTATCATAGGTATGAACCTGTTGCCATGTTGCACCCGAACGCTCTGCCAGTGACAACAGGGTCCCTAGCTCCATTTTCAGCTGTGTTGGCCTCTTACAACCCTTTGTCAATGAAAACGGAGTGCAGGAGGGCCCTCCTGAACTCTGTTTTTGCTGGCAGAGGCACCGCAGGCCAGTCCTTCACTGTTTCCAGGACAGCCCCACAGACCAGATCTAAGTACCCCATAGGCCGGATTCAGACCTTGACACTCCTGCTAAAGCTATGCATGCAACCACACTGCTCAACGACGGCAATCTCTGCAATCCTGGTTACCTTCGTGAACTGCATCCTGCAGCTGTTCAGTTAAGAGCACTTACTTCCTGCCAGCTTCCCACAGTCAGTTGGGAAGACAGCAGGCAGTCGCAAGTCCTAGGCCTGCAAACAATTAAGAGGCTGCTTCCAGGGTGGTGGAGGGAATGAAGAGGTGCACATGGGTACGGGGCAAGAGTTGCGGAGGTTGAGCAAGAGGCACAGCATGTATTGGGGCAGGAGTCTGAAGGGAGTGCGCATGGTCAGCATTGTGTAGACAAATGGATGTACAGATGCTACCAAGTGCTGCCTTGCAAACCTGCCTTTTTCTTTTCTAAGATAATTTATGGCAGTGGCCCCCAACCTTTTGGGCACCAAGGACCGATTCTGTGGAGAGAGGACATACATTTACTGTACAGAATTCTCACTTTCTCAGCCGCACTGTAGATTTCCTCTTTCAAACTGCAGTCCACCACATAAGGATATGCTTCGACTCCCAACTTTCTGCAGTCTTCAGCTGTTTCCTCGATGCCAGACTACAAACAGTAGAAAGGATAAATATCATTCGCTTCTTTGCGTTCTGCCAACAAAATATTACTGAATCAAAGGAGGAGGAAAAGATTACTACAGTGTCAGCAAGATCATAGTTCCAGAAGTTCCAGAAGAAATACAAAACATTTGCTAGACCAATACTCGAATAGAGCTCATCAGTCTGGAACCCACATTACGTATCTGATATTAACACAGTTGAGAAAGTCCAGAAATATTTCACAAGAAGAGTTCTCCACTCCTCTACTCAATGCAGAATACCTTATGCCACCAGACTCGAGACTCAAAATCCTAGACCTAGAAAACCTAGAACTATGCCGTCTTCGGTCTGATCTAAGTATGGTATATAAAATCATACATTGCAATGATTTACCTGTCAATGAATACTTCAGCTTCAACCATAACAACACAAGAGTACACAATAGATACAAATTCAAGGTTAACTGCACCAAACTTGATTGCAGGAAATACAACTTCAGCAACAGAGTGGTCAATGTCTGGAATACTCTACTTGACTCTCTGGTTTCTTCCCGAAACCCCAAAAACTTTAACCTTAGCCTGTCTACTATTGACCTCACCCCCTTCCTAAGAGGTCTGTTAGCTATATCGGAAGAACTAAAAAAGAATCATTATGTGAAGGTGCCATTATGGTTATCGACAATGGAAGCACTAATATATCCCAATGCTATAGATTGCACCAAAATGATAAAATATAGGGACCTACTAAATGAAAAAGGGGAATTAAAACATGGAACCAATTAGAATTTCAGGGAATTGAAATAGGATGGTGGCCTTATCTACAGGTTCAAACACACTATAGAAAAAAACAAAGAACAATTTGGCTTTCATATAACGCAGCAAGAGTTAGACAAAATATTACAAGGGATGGAAAAATAATGATTAATAAAATTTTCCTATTTTCCAAACCTAACCAAAAGCATACTTTATTTCCATTGGAACTTGTCCCAGATATATCTTTAGATCTTATTTTCAGGAATGTCTTTACTTATTTTTCTTTCTCTCCCTCCCCTTATTTTTCTATCTTGTTAATTCACTCATTTTAAAGTAGAATAATTGCCGTACCTTGTCTATGTCCCAGAGAACCAATCGGCTTCTTTGTTTGGCAAATTCAAAGGCTGTGTGTCTTCCAATGCCATTTGCAGCTCCAGTGATAAGGACAATTTCACCAGCCACAGATTTTCTCTTCACAGGAATAAAACATTTCACCAAAGCTTCAACATAGCAATAGGTTGCAAAGACTGCAAACCAGAGGAAATCTAATATGGGATGCATTCTTGCTTTCTTCTACAAATGTGATTTCACAGACTGTTGGGAGGACTTTTATTGCACTTGCTAACTAGAGTTCTTGCAAAACTCCATCCTCTGCAAGTGTTCTTACAAAATGAAGTAGGAGAGTAAATACACCTGCTCTTTGAAGTTTATAATCACTTTAATAATCAAATTACTGAAAATACAACTACATTCAGGGAACATATTTCCACATGTGGTGGACTTGTCCATGTGCACATGTGGCACATGACTTGTCCATGTGGCAAAAAATTAGAACTAGGACATTAGAAACAATGAAACAAGAACTAAAACTTGAACCTGAAATCTTTTTATTAGGCATGATAGAATCAAACTTGAAAAAGATAGATCAGTACTTGATTTTGCATATCATAACTGCAGCCAGAATAAGCTTTGCCCAAAACTGGAAATTAGCTACAACCCTCTCAGAAAATATAATAATCAATAAAATACATGAGTGCACTGAGATGGACAGACTAACCAAGCTCTTAAAAAATAATCAAGATAGCAATTATTACAAAGTATGGGAAATCTGGTACAATTGGTTAAAGAAAAGATAACATCTGATAATTTGATAATATATTGAAAACAAGGCAGACGTGCAATTAATTGTAAACTTAAATGCATAGAAACAAAGACATTAAAAGGGCTTAGAAGTTATTGTAACAAGGTAGAACACGTCAATGATAGAAAAATATGTGTAACTATTGCTCAAAGCTCCCTGTAAAATGTGTGTGTATATATGTATATGTGTATGTATGTGTATATATATATATGCTTATTTGTTTGTTTTTAATCACATAAATGTTAAATAAAAATTATTTTTTTAAAATAAATTTTATAATAACTAGCATGTTGGCAGAAAGGTATCATCCTTTCAAACAATCCTTTTTTATTTTCAGCACCCCCGACTTCCATTTTTGGGCCTCCTGGGCCTCAGGGCAGCCTCTGGGGGGCGGGGGGGGGAATAGGCTCCCAATAAGCTTCCCTGGTACCCAGGAAGGCAAAAAACGAAGCAGCGCCCTCTTGTGCTCCATTTTTGGGTCTCCTGGGCTTTAGGGCAGCCTCCTGGGGGCGTTTTTGCTCCCAGGAGGCTTCCCCAGTGCACACATACACCCACCCCCTGCCCTCCTACCCCTTTTTGACTCCTGAGCCTGAGGGAAGCCTCCTGGGTGAAGCAGTAAGACATTTGGGTTGGCAGAATGGTGAAGGAGGCCATCCAGGCCAAAAATGGGGCACATGGGGGCCGCCCGTAGCACCCCCATGCCCCATTTTTGCTAGCAGAGGCACCTCAGGCCGGTCCTTTGCTATTTCCAGGCCAGCCCCACGGGCCGGATCTAAGCATCCCGTGGGCCTTGAGTTTGACACCTTTGCTATAGTTAAATCATGCCCTGATATATTAGTGAAGAAAAGCTACCAGTGATTCCAGGTACCTAATGGATGCCATTTCCCAGATAAGAGACTGTCTCTTCTGACAGTTTGGGGTATATCATGAGTATGGTGAAGATAGCCAACTCTGCATGGATGTCCTGAGTTGTAGAAGAGATATTGCTGCTGTTCTATATTAATATCTGGGGGTTGTGAGAACCTAGATGGGAGAGAACAAATGAAAATTGAACCCAAGTAAGACTGAGTTGCCATTTATATATTGAGGTTCTCCTTTGGGGCCATTACGACCCCTGGGTGAGCAGGCACTGCTCATCCAGAAGCAGGTTGGTGATTTGGAGGTCCTTCTGGATACGTAGCTTCTTAAACAGCAGGTGGTTGATGGGTTCTTTGCCTAGGTTTGGCTGATACACAGTTGTGACCTTACTTAGTACAGGAGGATTTCGCAGCCGTAATTCACGCTTTTATTGCCACCTGCATTGACTATTACAATACACTTTACATTGGGACAGCCCTTAAAGGTTTGCCGGCAAATTAGTAATACAATTCATACAATTAGTTGAGATCATAACTTGTTTCCTTCATTAAGGAGCACGTTATACCTATATAGAGTTGCTCCAAGAGTGAGATGAACAATCTCTAAATTTGATAAATGAATGAAATAAATATTGCAGACTCCCCAATTTAGCTCCAAATGCAAAATGTTCTCTTGAGTTTTATTACTCAGCCTGGCAATGAAGCACCTTCAGAAAAACAACCAAGTTCAGAGAATGCCCCAAAAACTCAACCATTTCTAAATAATCAAGCTCAATCTCTTTTATCATACTCAGCAGTATGAATAACCCATGTCTTTCGCCACTCAAATAATTGTGTAAGTCCCTGGATAATTATTTTTCACAGAAGTAACTATGTAAGTAAGGCTGTAGTAACTGTGGCTTATTGCGTCAAATCATAATTGTTTTATAAACCTTGCAACCCAAATCAAACAAATCATGTTCTAGTTTAGCACAAAGTATGGCCCCAACCTGGTTCTTGGCTACTGTCTTCTTCTCATTCCAAACTGATGAATCAAAACAACCTTATTCATTACTATATAGGCAATATAAAGTCTGTACCTTCCCTCCTAGCTGATAAAAGCTTATCTCAGCTTCAAGGTGTGCAAACTCTGCAAGCCTTTGTGTTCCATACTAAGCAGGCTTGTAGACCTGCAAATCCGATTGGTCCGGGAAACCCGGGCCATGATTGGACGATATGAACATCTCTGATTGGTTCGTACAGGGCTTGCCGTGATTGGGTGAAACCAAGTGCGGCAAGCTTGAAAGACTGTCATAGGCTGCCTAGCCGCAGCCGGCTCTATATAAAGGGCTGCCGCGGCTGGGTTTGCTGTCTCAGAATCTGCCTCCTTAATAAAGAGCTGTTGTTCACTACTCAAGCCTCGTGTCTTAATGGGACCCACCGACCATACTTAACACTTTGGAACTTGAGAGTCAGATAAATAAATATGATAAATGCTGAGAAGGAGGTAGAGGAGGTGTTGTGGTTCGCCAGCAGCCTGTGCAGACGGCAGCAGAATCGGACAATGGGGAAGAACGGGGATCAGTCTGGGAGTCGGAGGAGGGCCCTGTATCCAATGCAGAGATGGGCCAGGACCATCTGGGTGTGGGGTGCTGCCTCCAGAGCTTGTGCACAGAGTTGCTAGAAGGCGAGAGCAGCTGAAACAAAAGGGGCAAGTGGGAGTAAGGCTGGGAGGTGATTGCCCCTCCCAAAAGGTATAAAGGACAGGCAAAGATGATAAAATCTTTGCAGGAAGCAAAGTCATTTGTTCAGTTCATATTCATCCTTGAAGCTCTTTGTAATTCATTTGGGTTTTTTTCTAGTTCATTTGAAACTTCTATTATTGGCAGCACTTCACAGAAAAGAAAGGCGGCTGCTTGTCTTGAGGGACTATTTGAGATTAATTCCAGCTTGGGAATGAAAACAATTCCTAGCATTGCAACATTCAGTAAGAAGGTACAGACTTTTTTTTTTTTAAATAAGCGTGAGCGTAATTACAGCCTAGGAAACTTTGGTAAGAACAGGAGGCCTTTAATATATGGGAGAAGAGGCTATTCAAATCAGAAGCGAGAGCCATGAGGAGGAGGTGTTTGACAGAAATTCTACCTTAATTAACCTCCTGGGAATGATTTCAAGATTTTTGTTTTTACACCCTCAGGTTACCTATATTTATCTGAAATGGGTGATTCTCATATCTTTGGTTTGCCAGTTAAGCAGGTAGGATTCATATTATAATACAGAAGATTCTTAAAATGTATATAAAGATAAAACCTGAAATCCAAACGTGCATTTTCCAAAAAGCACCTGGACTTTATTGATTTTTTTTTCCTTTGGACTGAACTAAAGAAGCTTTTTGGATGAGAAGGAAAACATTTTCAGAGAAAAAAACACCCAAGAAAGTCCAGTTGCCTTTTGGAAAATGCACCTTTGAGACAACTATGAACTGGATGATTGAGAATCTCCATACAGACATAAAACTGAAGAGTTTTCTTTTAGGCTTAATGGACAAAGAGTGATCAGCAGAAAAAAGAGAAGGGGCTGCCCAAATACTTACTGGCTGGACACTATAAAAGATGACATTGGGATGACCATGGTGGATCTGAAGGAGGTGGTGGAAGACAGAGAGGCATGGAGATCCATAGAGTGTCCACAACGGAATGGCTGACGATAACGGACAAAGAACTTGGGGGTTGGAAATGGAACTTTGAAGCTATGTATGCTAAAAGCAGCAATAATACTCTATGCACAAAAAAATGGAAGGATACTTTAATTCCCACAATGGATCCAAAACCTGGTGGTGTTAGCAGAAAAGGCTAAATTGACTGCTTCAATTTTTTTTTAATAAAAAAAAGAATACAACTTACTGATGGACTTTGTGTTTGAGGTAGAAAAAAAAGTTCTCCTTTTGCCCTATACTTCCTCCTCTTCCCTTCCTTACTTTCCCGTTATTTTCATTTCCCTTTGTATTTGGATAAACTAATCAAGTTTGACAAATCATCAGATTTTTTTTTAAGTGTTAAGTGACTGACAGTTGCTTTCCCATTGACAGAGGATGCTTGGTAGAAGAGGAAATGAAGCCACAGGGATCCAACAATCGCTTTCTTTAACTGGGTTAGCAGTTGGACAATAGGCATGTAAGAATTGCATCTCAGTATTGTGACAGGGAAAGGCAATGGGTGGGGAGGGAATCCAATTTACTCTGACAAGACTTTTTGGCAACTCAGGGAGCAGGGAGTGGTAATTAACCCAGCCTGATCCCTGAGCAAGCTTAGTGCTGTTCTACATAGTGATTGTTGCTTTTTAATGCGTTTGGCTGTATAGATTTGCTCGTATGTTTGAGTTGTAATACTCTGCATAATTGCATAGAAGCTAAGTTTAGTTGAATCTTTGCAAGTTCATTATCATCATTACCAGAGTTGGAAGGGTCCTTGGAGGTCTTCTTGTCCAGCTCTCTCCAGTCAAGTAGAAGACCCCTACACCATTTCAGACAAATGAATGTCCAGTCTCTTCTTAAAAGGCTTCGGTGATGGAGCAGTTCTGAACTCTTCAGTTCTAGCTTGCTTCTCTCTTTAATTAGTTTCCATCCATTGCTTCTTGCCCTGCCTT